CGAGGGGCGGGCGGGGCAGCCCCCGGTAGCGGGCACGGAAAGGGTTTCACGGGGGCACCGGGGGCTGGGCTGGGGGTTTCACGGGGGCACCGGGGGCTGGGCTGGGGGTTTCACGGGGGCACCGGGGGCTGTGCTCGGGGTTTCACGGGGCTCGCCCTCGGCTCGCGGCCGGAGCTCTCTGAGGGCGGGGGTCCCCGCACCTCCCGCGCGTGAAGGGGGCGTTCTGCGGGCTGGGGACGCCGCAACCCCGCCGGGGGGGCTCCGCAATGCCCCGTGCGTTGTGCGGGGGTCCCTTGGGGGGGTCTGCACCGGTCCCCGGGGTCTCGGGGGTCTCTGGGGGTCTCCGGGGGTCTCTGGGGATCTCCGGGGGTCTCTGCGGACCCCTCTGGGGGGCCGAGGGGGAGGGCGGTGGGCCCGCCCCATGTCACGTGACACGAGCCAACATGGCGGCGCCCATGGGACCGGAAGCGGAAGTGGCTAAGCAGAGGCACGGCGGGGCAGCTGCCACGGCGCCGGGGCCCGGGGGTATGGGGGGGCCCTGAGGGAGCCGGGGGTTACCGGGAGGGGTGCGGGGGCTCCGGAGGGTCTGGGAGGTGCCTGGGGAGGTCCTGCGGGGCATCTCCGGGGTCGGGGGGGGAGCTGTGAGAGTGGAGGGGGCGCTGTGTGGGGCTGTGGGGGGGGGGGGGGGGCCTTAAGGAGGATTTGGGGTGCGAGGGTGCTATGGGGGTGGTTCTGTGAGGGTCTTGTGGGGAGTCTGTGGAGGTCCTGTCTGGGGCTCGTGGAGGATCTGGAGCGTGTGGGGGGTTCTGTGGGGAACTCTAGTGGGGGTTTGGGGTCTGTGGGGTGTTGTGGGGTCTGGGTGGGCTTGGAGGGGTGCTGCGGCCTGTGGAGGAGCCGTGGGGGACTGTGCTGTGGGTCCCTGTGGGGTGGGGTGTCCCTACAGAACCCATGGGCTCTCTGGGGAGTTTGGGGCACCTGGGTGGTCCCTCAGTCCCCCCTAGTGCTGATCTCCGTTTTTCCTTCCCCAGGCCCCCCTGAGCCCCCTCCCCACCATGCTCCTGCTGCCCTGCTCTGCCCTCGCCCTCCTCCTGCTCAGCTGCCTGGCTCTGGAGCCGCCCCCGCGCCGCCCGCCGCCCTCCAACCCCGCGTTCCGCGGCTTCCAGCGGCGCTTCCTGCTGGGCTACCTGCCGGCACTGGCGGCCGACTGGCTGCAGGGCCCGCTGCTCTTCCAGCTGCTGCACGGCCGCGGCTTCCTGCGCAGCCAGATCGCCGCCCTCTACTCCTGCGGCTTCGCCTCCAACGTGGCCTTCGGCCTCGTCGCCGGGCTCTTCGTGGACCGCCTGGGCCGCAAGAAGTCCTGCGTGCTGTCCTCGGGGCTGTGCTCGGCGTGCTGCCTGCTGCAGCTCTCCCACGACTTCCTGGCGCTGGCGGCCGCCCGGGTGCTGGCGGGGCTCGGCACCTCGCTGCTCTTCTCCGCCTTCGAGTCCTGGTACGTGCACGAGCACCTGGAGCGCCACGACTTCCCGGCCGAGTGGATTGCCGACACCTTCTCCCGCGTGGCGCTCTGCAGCGGCGGCCTGGCCGTGGCGGCCGGCCTGCTGGCCCAGCTGCTGGCCCAGGGGCTGGCGCTGGGCCCCGTGGCCCCCTTCCTGGCGGCGCTGCCCTTCCTGGCTCTCTCGGGGATCTTCGCCGGGAAAAACTGGGATGAGAACTACGGGAAGAGCCGGGCCTGCGGCAAGGCCTGCGGGGAGGGCCTGCGGGGCCTCGCCTCCGAGCCCCGGGCGCTGCTGCTGGGGCTGGTGCAGGCCCTGGTGGAGAGCATCCTGCTCCTCTTCGCCTTCCTGTGGACGCCCGTCCTGGAGCCGCACGGGATCCCGCTGGGAATCGCCTTCTCGGGGTTCACGGCCGCCGGCGCCGCGGGCTCGGCGCTGTTCCGGCGCGGCGTCGCCGGGAGGCTGCAGCCGCTGCGCCTGCTGCCCGGCTCCGTGCTGCTGCTGGCGCTGGCCCTGCTGCTGCTGGCCCTGCCGCTGGACGCCGCCGGCGACTTCCTGGCCGTGCTGCTGCTGCAGCTCTCCTGCGGCATCTGCTTCCCGGCCGTGGCGTTCCTGCGGCGGCGGCTGGAGCGCGGCGGGGACGCGGCGGGGGCGGCGCGGTGGCTGCGGCTGCCCCTGGGCCTGGCGGTGGCGCTGGCGCTGCCCGCCCTGCCCGGGGACCCCGCGGGGACACGGGCCGTGTTCGGGGCCGCCGCCCTGGCCGCGCTGGTGGCGCTGGGGGCAGCCGGGGGCGTCCTGGGCACCGGCCGTGGGGACGAGGGGCTGAGGGTGGGGGACGAGGGGCTGCTCGAGGGGGACACTGGAGAGTGACACTGGGACACTGGGACAGCTCAGCAGCGACACCTGGCTGTGGTGGGGACCCTGGGACAGTGTGAGGTGTGACAGGAGCACTGCCTGGGACAGCGACACTGGGACAGCTCGATGGGGACACCGGGGTGGGACAGGGACACTGGGACAGTGTGAGGGGGTCACCGAGGTGTGAGAGGAACCCTGGGCTGGGACAGGGACACTGGGACAGCTCCATGGGGACATTGGGGTGTGATGGGAATGGGGACACTGGGCTGGGACAGGGACACTGGGACAACTCGATGGGGACCCTGGGACAGTGTGAGGGGGTCACCAAGGTGTGACAGGAGCACTGGGCTGGGACAGCTCAATGGGGACACTGGGATGGGACAGGGACAGGGACACTGGGACAGCTCAGTGGGGACACCGGGGTGTGATGGGAATGGGGACACTGGGGTGGGACAGGGACACCAGGACAGTGTGAGGGGGTCACCAATGTGTGACAGGAACACTGGGCTGGGACAGGGACACTGGGACAACTCGATGGGGACACTGGGGTGGGACAGGGACACTGGGACAGCTTGAGAAGGACATAAGGGTGTAATGGGGACAGCAGGTGTGACAGGGACACCAGGACAGCTCCATGGGGACACTGGGGTGTGATAGGAATGGGGACACTGGGGTGGGACAGGGACACCAGGACAGTTTGAGGGGGTCACCAATATGTGTCAGGAACACTGGGCTGGGACAGGGACACTGGGACAACTCGATGGGGACACTGGGGTGGGACAGGGACACTGGGACAGCTTGAGAAGGACATAAGGGTGTAATGGGGACAGCAGGTGTGACAGGGACACCAGGACAGCTCCATGGGGACACTGGGGTGTGATAGGAATAGGGACACTGTGGTGGGACAGGGACAGCAGGACAGCTCAAGGTGTGACAGGGACACAGATGTGACAAGGAAGGAGGGACACTGGGATGTCAGAGTGACAGGAGCACCAGGACAGCTCTATGGGGACACCAGGGACACTGGGATTTGGCAGGGACAAGGACAGTAACACCTGGCTGGGACAGGAACACTGGGACAGCTCAGCAGGAACACCAGAGTGACAGGGCCAGGGACACAGGAAGAGCCCATGGGGTCACCAGGCAGTGATGGGGTCACAGTGTGACCTCTGTGCTGAGCTGTGAGTGACAGAAACACTGAGACACCCGTGGGGACACTGAACTGCAGTGGGTCACAGTGCCACCATGGACTGTGGGTGACAGTGACACTGAACTGCAGTGGGTGACAGTGACACCCCACGATGGACTGTGGGTGACAGTGCCACCCCTTGAGGACACTGAACTGCAGTGGGTCACAGTGCCACCATGGACTGTGGGTGACAATGACACTGAACTGCAGTGGGTCACAGTGCCACCATGGGCTGTGGGTGACAGTGACACTGAACTGCAGTGGGTGACAGTGACACCCCACGATGGACTGTGGGTGACAGTGCCACCCCTTGAGGACACTGAACTGCAGTGGGTCACAGTGCCACCATGGACTGTGGGTGACAGTGACACTGAACTGCAGTGGGTGACAGTGACACCCCACGATGGACTGTGGGTGANCTGCAGTGCGTCACAGTGACACCCCGCGATGGGCTGTCGCCCATGGGGACACTGAACTGCAGTGGGTCACAGTGCCACCATGGACTGTGGGTGACAGTGACACTGAACTGCAGTGGGTGACAGTGACACCCCACGATGGACTGTGGGTGACAGTGCCACCCCTTGAGGACACTGAACTGCAGTGGGTCACAGTGCCACGATGGGCTGTGGGTGACAGTGACACTGAACTGCAGTGGGTGACAGTGACACCCCACGATGGACTGTGGGTGACAGTGCCACCCCTTGAGGACACTCAACTGCAGGGGGTCACAGCGCCACCATGGACTGTGGGTGACAATGACACTGGGACACCTGATCATGACAAGGAACTGTGACAGTCCCGGTGTCACCCCATGGCTGAGCTGGGTGACACTGGGACACCCACTGGTGATATTAAGCTGTGACAGGTCACAGTGTCACCTCCATGATGAAACGTCGGTGACAGTGACACTGGGACACCCCGCTGGTGACACCGAGCTCTGCTGGTGACCCGTCACCAGTGCCACCCCCACAGCGAGCTGTGGGTGGCAACATGGGGGCAGCCCGAGGTGACACTGAGTGGGACAGATGAGGGTGTCACCCCCATAACGAGGTGGTGGGGACACCGGTACACCCCCGGGGCTGTGCCAGCTCACAGTGCCACCTCCCCCACGGCACAGCAGAGGGGACACGGGGACACCAGGCCAGGCGTGGCCTGTGGCCGACCCCATGTGGTGTCATGGCGGTGGGGAGGTGTATTAATTACTTAATTAATTTCTAATAAACCCACCCAGTAGAGGTGTTTGTGAAGTCCTGCTCCTCCTCCTGTCCCCCGAATTTGGGTCTGGGGGACCCTCCAGAGTGGCCCCAGTTCAAACCAGTGACTCCCAGTCCAGCCACGTCTCCAGTGTGGGTGTTGCGCTGGTTTGACCCCAGGCTAAGCCCCCTCAGTGCCCCCAGTTCCCCCAGTAACCGCCCTGCATCCTCAAAATTTTCCCAGTTCCCAGCTGCATTCCCAGTTCCCTCCATTCCCCACAGTTCCCCCCCAGTTCCCCCAGTTCTCCCCAGTCCCCCCCAGTTCTCTCCAGGCCACCTGGGGACCCTCCAGAGTGGCCCCAGTTCAAACCAGTGACTCCCAGTCCAGCCACGTCTCCAGTGCGAGCGTTGCGCTGGTTTGACCCCAGGCTGAGCCCCACCAGTGCCCCCAGTCCTCCCAGTAACCCCCCCACATCCTCATGATTTCCCAGTTCCTCCCAGTCCCCCCAGTTCCCTCCATTCCCCACAGTCCCCCTCAGTCCCTCCCAGTACCCCCCAGTTCTCTCCACTCCCCCCCCAGTTCCCTCAGTTCTCTCCCCCCCCAGTTCTCCCCAGTCTCTCCCAGTTCCTCCCAGTCCCCCCAGTCTCTCCCAGTTTCCCCGTCCGCCAGGGGGCGCCCTCGCGCCTCTCGCCCCATCCCCGCAGCGTCACGTGGCCTTGACGCGCCCTCCCCGCTTTCCCCGGTAGGCTCCGCCTTCCGCCCGCTTCGTCCTCCGATTGGCCGAGGGAGCCGTCAGTCGCGGCGCAGCGGGTGGCGATTGGTCCGCGGGGCTCAGTGGGCGGGCACAGGGAGGCGGAAGCGAGCGGGACCCGGATGTGAGCGCGGCCCATGGAGGGGGCGGGACCCGTGGGATTTGGGTGTGCCGGGTGTGGGTCTGGGGGGTCAGGTGTGATTTGGGGGTGTCAGGTGTGATTTGGGGGATGAGGTGTGAGTTTGGGGGTGTCAGGTGTGATTTGGGTGGTCAGGTGGGGTTTGGATGTGCCAGATGTGAATTAGGGGGTTAGGTGTGATTTGGGTGTGCCAAATGTGGGTCTGGGGGAGTCAGGTGTGAGTTTGGGGGTGTCAGGTGTGATTTGGGTGGTCAGGTGTGTTGAGGGGCAGTTTGGAACATCTCAGGTGTGATTTCGGTGTGCCAGGTTGGGTCTGGGGGTGTCAGGTGTGAGTTTGGGGGTGTCAGGTTTGGGTCTGGGGGGATCAGGTGTGATTTGGGTGGTCAGCTCTGATTTGGGGGCTCAGGTGTGTGTTTGGGGTCTCAGGTGGGTGTGTAGTAGGGCAGTTTTGGGGGCTCAGGTGTGTGTTTGGGGTGTCAGGTGTGATTTGGGTGGTCAGCTGTGATTGGGGTCTCAGGTGGGTGTGTAGTAGGGCAGTTTTGGGCGCTCAGGTGGGTTTTTTGGGTTCAGGTGTGTTTTGGGGGTCCAGGTGTGTTTGGAGGACCTGATGGGTTTTGGGGGTTACATGTATTTTAGGGAGTCAGGTGTGTTTGGGGGGCTCAGGTGTGTTTTGGGGATTGGTTTAGAGAGTTCAGGCGTGATTGAGGGAGTCAGGTATGTTTAAGGGTTTCAGGTGTGATGTGGAGGATTGGGTGTGTTTTGGGGGAAGTTTTGTGGGTTCAGGTGTGTTTAGGACAATTTGGGTGGGTCAGGTGTGTGTTTGGGGTGTCAGATGTGTGTTTAAAGTGTCAGGTGTGTGTTTAGGGTGTCAGATGTGTGTTTGGGGGCGGTTTTGGGGTGTCAGGGGTGTGTTTGGGGTGTCAGGGGTGTGTTTAGGGTGTCAGCTGTGTGTTTGGGGCAGTTTTGGGGTGTCAGGTGTGTGTTTAGAATGCCAGGTGTGTGTTTAGAATGCCAGGTGTGTGTTTGGGGTGTCAGCTGTGTGTTTGGGGCAGTTTTGGGGTGTCAGGGGTGTGTTGGAGGCGTCAAGGGTGTGTTTGGAGTTTCAGGGGTGCGTTTGGGGTGTCAGGTGTGTGTTTGGGGCAGTCTTGGGGTGTCAGCTGTGTGTTTGGGGTGTCAGGTGTGTGTTGGGGTGTCAGCTGTGTATTTGGGTTGTCAGCTGTGTGTTGGGGGGCCGTTTAGCAGGTCCCGGTTTTGGGGCTCGTGTCTGACTCGGGGTGTCGGTGTCCGGTGTGTGTTTGGGGCAGTTTTGGGGTGTCAGGTGTGTGTTTGGGGGGCAGTTTAGCAGATCCCCAGTTTTGGGGCTCGTGTCTGACTCAGGGTGTCAGTGTCAGGTGTGTGTTTGGGGCAGTCTTGGGGTGTCAGGGATGTGTTTGGGGTGTCAGGTGTGTGTTGGGGGGCCGTGTAGCAGGTCCCGGTTTTGGGGTTCCTGTCTGACTCGGGGGGTCGGGGGTGTCGGTTCCCGTCCTTCCGGGGGTCCCAGCGTTGCCTCCCCGCAGGAGCCCCCCCGCCATGGATGACCTGAACCTGCACTTCAGGTTCCTCAACTGGCGCCGGCGGATCCGGGAGATCCTGGGGCAGTGGGAGGGCCGGGACCGGGACCGGGACCGGGATCGGGACCGGGATCGGGGCCTGCGCTGCCAGGAGCGAGCCCGGCACATCCTGGTGGACGGGGACACCCTCAGGTACCGGGGGGAGCCCGCAGAACGGGCTGGGGGGGCTGGGGGCGCCCACACAAAGGGGCTGAGGATGGGGGGATGCACCCATGGGGGTGGGGGCACCCGCAAAAAGGGGCTGAGAGGGCGGGGGGGATGCACCCATGGGCTGGGGGGGGCCGGGGCACCCACAGATCCGGGGGGGCTCTGAGGGTACCGGGGGGGTCGGGGGCTGTCTCAGCCCCCGCGCCCCCGCAGCTACCGCGGCCCCTCGGGCGAGGTCGGCTGTTACGTGGCCCCGCGGCCGCTGACCCGCGACAGCAACTACTTCGAGGTGAGCGGGGGGCGCGGGGGGCGCGGGCTGCGCCGGGGGGCGCGGAGCCCTGACCCCCCCGGGCCCTGCCCAGGTGTCCATCGTGGACAGCGGGGTGCGCGGCACCATCGCCGTGGGGCTGGTGCCGCACTGCCACAGCCTCGAGCACCCGCCGGGATGGGGGCCCGGCTCCGTCGCCTACCACGCCGATGATGGAAAGTGAGCGTGGGATAGCGGGGCCGGGATGTCGCGGTGGCTGGCGGGGAAGCGTTGGGATCGTTGCGGGTGTTGGGATAGAAGGGAATTTCATGGCGTTAGCAGATGTTGGGGTGTGAGGTGAGGGATGAAATGCTTTGGGGTATCAGGGTGTCGGGATACTGGGGAGTGTTGGAACCTCGGGGGTGTCAGATACTGGGGAGTGTTTGATATTGGGGGTGTCGGATACTGGGGAGTGCTGGGACCTCGGGGGTGTCAGATACTGGGGAGTGTTTGATATTGGGGGTGTCGGATACTGGGGAGTGTTTGATATTGGAGGTGTTGGATATTGGAGTGTGTTGGATATTAGGGTTGTTGGGTCCTTAGGGATGTTGGATATTGGGGTGTGTGGGTTATTAGGGGTGTTGGGACTTCGGGCGGTATTGGATATTGGGGAGTGTTGGGACTTTGGGGGTGTTGGGACCTTGGGGGTGTTGGATATTGGGTGTGCTGGGACCTTGGGGGTGTTGGGACCTTGGGGATGTTGGATATTGGTGGTGTTGGATATGGAGGTGTTGGATATCGGGGTGTGGGATATTGGGGGTGTTGGATATTGGGGGTGTTGGATATTGGGGGCAGCCAGGGGGGCAGCAGGACTGGGAGGTGTTGGGGGGGCATTGGGGCCTGTCACAATATTTGGGGTCTGCTCCAGGTTTGATGTCCCCCATTAGTGACACCCCCCCCCATTCTGAACCCCCATTTTCGGGGTCCCCCCGGTTCTGGGGTGCCCCAGGCTGTACAGTGGCCGGGCCAAGGGGCGCCAGTTCGGCTCCAAGTGCAGCTCCGGGGACCGGATCGGCTGCGGCGTCGAGAGGGGCTCGTTCGGAGCCCCCCCAGCCCAGGTGTTCTTCACCAAGAACGGCCAGAGGGTGAGGGGATCCCCACCCTGCCCCAGAGCACCCCCAAAACTTACCGGGACACCCCAAACCTTCCAGGATCCCCTAAACCTTCCACCCCTCCCCAGCCGCTCTTCACGAAGAATGGACAGAGAACAGGGGGACCCCCAAATCTTCTGAAACCCCAAAGCCTCCAAAGCCCCCCACTTCCTCCTTTGGTGTTTCCCCAGCTCCCAGGTGGGGTCCTGGGGGTGCCCCTTGTCCCTGAGCCCCCCTCACCCCGACTCCCTCAATTGCAGGTGGGGGGTCTGGGGGTGCCGCTGTCGCCCCCGGGGCTGTTCCCAGCCGTGGGGCTGCACTCGCTGGGCGAGGAGGTTCGGCTGCATCTGCCCCCCCCCGGGCCCCCCGAGGATGAGGGGGGGGCCATGCTGGTGGACAGCCTGGAGGAGGAGTGGGGCAGGCTCCACGACGTGCGGCTCTACGGCTCCGTGAGCATCCCGAAAGCTGGGGGGAAAGGGGGGCTGGAGCCTCCCCCAGGACTGGGGAGGGAGCTCAGAATGAGGGGATGGGGTTGGAACAGGGTGGAGCCCCTCCCTGGGCTGGGGGTCAGAATTTGAGGTTGTGGGGTGAGAAGAATGGGGCTCTGGGAATTGGGGTAAGGACAGTTTTGGGGATGGGACAAGAGGGGTCCCCAATCCTGGGGAGGGCAGAAAGGGGGGCTGTGACACGGGAGCAGGGTAAAGGGGGTCCCAGCAGCAACATCGGGAGTCTGGGGGTTCTTGGGTGCCCCTCAGATCTCCCATGTGTGCCCCCTGACCCTCTATGATCCCCCCTCAGCCCCTGTGATCCTCCAATCCCCCCGGGACCCCTCAAACCCTCCCAGGTGCTGTTTTCAGATGGGGAAGGGGATGAATTTCACGGATCTGGGGCTGCTCCGGGTTGGGGGGTGCCCCTTTCTCCCCTGTCTGAGCCCCCCCGCGCCCCCAGGTGTTGGAGTACGTGGGGAAGGGGAAGAGCATCGTGGATGTGGGGCTGGCCCAGGCCCGGCGGCCGCTCAGCCCCCGCAGCCACTACTTCGAGCTGGAGATCCTGGACCCGGGCGAGAAGTGCTACATCGCCCTGGGCGTGGCCAGGAAGGTGCGGGGGGCTCGGAGTTGGGGTACGGGGGGCTGGGGGGGATTGGATCTGTGGGGGCTGTGGGATCTGTGGGGTTTGTGGGGCTGTGGAGACACCTACGGAGCTGGGGGGGCCAGGGAAGTGGGGAGATGTGGGTCGAAAATGGGGGTCAGAGGGAGTAAAGGGGGGCTGGAGCCTCCTCCAGGGCTGGGAGTGGTCAAGGAAGGAGGGGAGTGGGCTCAGATTTGGGGTACAGGGGGGCTGGAACTCTCCACCACGCTGGGGCTGAGCTGAAAGGTGGGAGGGTGTCCAAAATGAGGGTTTGGGGGCAGAAATTTGGGTCTATGAGTTTGGGGGGGCAGGGCCCCCCACATTGCCCTCACCTCTCTCCCTCCCCTGTGCCCTCCCTCAGGATTACCCCAAAAATCGTCACCCTGGCTGGAGCAGGGGCTCAGTGGCCTACCACGCAGGTGAGCCCCCCAAAAGTGGGGGGGACCCCCCAAAATGGGCGGGAACCTCCCCACATGCCAGAACCCCCCAAACACAGGACCCCAGTAGTGGGATCTCCTCCTACTCCTTCTGCCCCTGGAAACCCCTTTCCCATTTTTCCTCCCTATTTTGGCTTGCACCCTTATAACGAGGGTCTGGGGGTCTCCCCCATGACCTCGAGGATTCCCCCCTAATCTGGGGTGTCCCCATGGCTCCTCCCTTCTCCCTTCCTCCATCTTTTTCCTCTTCATCCTCTTCCTTTCCCAGCCCAGTTTCCTCCCTTTTTTGGGGTGCACTCCCATGGGGATGGGTGGTTCCAGCCCCTCGGGGTGGGGGGGTCCCTGCAGCCTCTTCGTCCCCCTATTCCACCCTTTCAGCTCCTTCCTCCCCCTTTTCCCTTTCACCCCCTTCACCCTCTTCTTCCTTCCACCTTTCTCAGGCCTATTTCTCTCATTTTTTTGGGGTGCAGCCCCATGGGAGGGCTCCTCCTCATGGCGGGATTTGGGGATCCCTCTGTGCACCCCCGTCCCCAGCTGTCCCCTTCTCCCTGTCCCCCTCCTCCTGTAACCCCTTTCTCTGCCCATTTCCCCCCCTTTCTTTGGGGTGCACCCCATGGAGGGTGTCCTGGGGTTACCCCCACCAGCTGTGGGGGTGTCCCCCTAATCGGGGGTCTCCCCCCAGACGATGGAAAGCTGTTCCACGGCAGCGGGGTGGGGGATCCCTTCGGCCCCCGCTGCTACAAGGGCGACGTGATGGGCTGTGGGATCATGTTCCCTCGGGACTACGGCCGGGACAGCGAAGGTACCGCGGGGCTGGGGCCCCCCCGGGGCTGGCCGGGCTCGGGGGGGGTCCCTCACCCTTTTCCCCACCCCAGGTGACAGCGATGACGCCTCGGAGCCCCCCGAGGTGAAGGTGAAGGTGCGCAACGTGATGTACCTGGAGGAGGAGGAGGAGGAAGAGGAAGAGGAGGAGGAGGAAGAAGAGGATGGGGAGGACATGGAGCAGGAGCAGGAGGGCAGGAAGGTCGTGGTAAGGGTGGGGATAACCCGCAAAAAAAAAAAAATCTGTGCCCTAAAACAGGCCCCAGCCCCCAAAAACCTTCTCCTTACCCCCAAAATTCTCCTTTGCCCATCGTTGGCATCCCTTTGAATCACCTGGGGGCACCAACACCAGGATTTTGGGGGGGTTGTGGGTGTCCCCCCCCTAATATTTTAGGGTGACCCCCCCGTTTGTCTATGATCCCCACATGTATTTGTGCCCCACCCCTGGACCCCCCATCACCCCAGAAATCTCCCTGCAGCCCCCTTGGGTTCCCTTTACAGCGACTCGCCCTGGGGTCACCCCCTTTGCCCCCACTTTCTTGGACATTGGGGTCTCCCTGCCCTCCCCTCATATTTTGGGGTGACTGCTGTGTGTCCCTGAACCCCCTCCATGTGTTTGTGCCCCCTCAAAACCCCCCTCACCCCAAAAATCCCCCTACACCCCCCTTTTGCCTCACCTTTCCTTGCCTTACTCTCCCCTTTACCCCCTGTTTTTTTTTGGGGGGGTGGGGTCTCCCCCTGCCACCCAATCTTGGGGTGACCCCCTGGTTTGTGCCCCCAGGTGTTCTTCACACGCAACGGGATGGTCGTGGGGCGCAGGGAGGTTGGGGTCCCCCCCGGGGGGCTCTTCCCCACCGTGGGGATGCTCAGCACTGGCGAGAGGGTCAAGGTGGACCTGCACCCCCTGAGCGGATAAAGGGGGGCCCGCGTGGGGCCCCCCAAAACCTGAAACCCTCTGGTGCTCCTTGTGCCCCCCCGGGCCCTCCCAGTGCACTTTAGGATGTTTCCACAACAGTGGGGACCCCCCCAAGGTGGTTTTTAGGGGGTTCACTCCTGCCCCCACCCCCATAATTTCACTCTTTTAGGGTCTCTTTGGGGGGGTTCCCCTAATTGAATCCCCCCTCAAAAGTACCCCAGTTTTGCCCCCCTAGATGTTTTTTTGGGGGTCTCAGCCATGGCCTCCACCATATTTTTGGGGGACCCACCCCTGTGTTTTTGGGGGACTCAATCCTGCCCCTCCCCAGATCATCCCAGTGACCTCCCCAGGTGGATTTGGGGGTCTCAGTCCTGCTCCTTCTACAATGGGTGACCCTCGTGCCCCCCCAGAGCCCTGGGGGTCTCAGTCCTGCTCCTTCTACAATGGGTGACCCTTGTGCCCCCCCAGAGCCCCCCAAATCACCCCCTTGACCCTCCCCCTCCACTGACCCCCGGTGCCCCCCAGATCACACCTGCTCCCCCTCATCTCTTCCAGTGCTCCCCATTCCTGGGGGGTTCCAGGGGGCAGAATTCGGGGTCCCCCCCATCATGAATGTAACCAGACCCTTCCAGTTCCATGGCAACCCCCGTGCTGGTTTTGGGGTCCCCTTTGACGTTTGCACATGGCGGGTGGGGGTCCCCATGCCCCCCCACCCCCCCAAATAAACCCATTTCTTACACCAAAATAAATGTGGATTTATTGGGGTTCCTCCAGGACCCCCCAGATTGCAGGGGGTGTCCCTGTGCCCCCTTTTCTTCACTTCAGGGGGTGGTTGGGGGGGTGTAGGAGGTTTTGGGGGGCCCTCAAGGGCGGTTGGAGGGTCTGGGGAGTATTTGAGGGGTCTGGGGGGGGTCTCAGGGGGAGTTTGGGGGTCCCCAGTAGGACTTTGGTGCTGAAGATGGTGGGAGGGGCGATTGTGGGGGTCCCCTCCTGCTCCCTCAAATCGGGGGTGCTGGGAGGGTTTGGGGGCTCCGGGGGTGGTTTTGGGGGGGCTTGGGGGTGTTCATGAGGGTGATGATGGTGGGGGGGGTCAGTTATGTGTGTCCCCCCCTTGGCACAGAGGACTCCAGGGGGTTTTGGGGGTGCCAGGGCGTTCTGGGGGTCCCTCAGTGTCGTGTCCCCAGCAGGACCTCGGTGAAGAGGGGGGGCAGTCCCGCTGGGTTTTGAGGGTGCCCCTGAGCCCCCCCTGCCTCGGGGGGCTTCGGGAGTCCCCAGCTGGGTTTTGGGGTGCGGGGGGGGTCCCCGGTGTCCCTCAGTGCCGCGTGCCCAGCAGGACTTTGGTGACGAAGGTGACGATGGCCCCCGCCGGCTGCTCGGGGTCCAGCTCCGCGAACACGTGGCACGCGTTGCCCCCCCCCGGGGCCCCCGCCTGCTTCGCCACGAACCCGAAAATCCTGGGGGGCAGCGGGGGGGGGGGGGGGCGAGGCCAGAGTCAGATCCGTGCCCCCCCCTCATTGCCGGGGGTCCCGCTCTGGGGGTCTCCCCACGTACCTGGCCGTGGTCCCGTCGGGGTTCGCCCACCTGGGGGGGGTCAGAGGGGTTGGGAGGTCTGGGGGGGTTGGGGAGGTTGGGGGTCCCCCCGTGCCCCCCCCGTGCCCCCTCACCTGCGCTCCTGGGGGTCGGTGCCGCAGTGGGTGACGCTGCTCACGGGGTAGTGCCGGCGGAAAAAGAGACATGGAGCA